TAAATAAAATATCATTATCATTATTATTGTTCATATACAGTATATCGCTCGCAATCAATGTTATATATTATTAATGTAGGATAAAAAAAAAAAAATTATTTTTAAGCATTGATTGATAAAGCATAGGCAAAATCTGCTGCATTCGCAATATAATCATCATTTCTTTAGCTTTAAAAATTCGGATTCTATGGTAGCATTTTTGTGTATAACATTGTATTTAAAATCATATTTTGATTTTATTTTGTTTTTTAAATTTTTTTTTTTTTTTTTTTTTTTGTCAGGCACCAAACCCGTTGGGAATTGAAAAATTTTAACATTTTTTTTCTCATTTATGTGATTTTGCACAAATAAAATTCCTCTCATCAAGATTAACTTCGAAGAGGATGACGCGAATAGCAAACATTGTTCTGTCAATAAGAAGAGACTACTTTTTCAATACGTTCAATAACAATTAAATATTTAATATCTATTGATGGAAAATTGTTGGAATTTAACCTATTTTTTTATTGTATTAATAAATTTCCCAATAAAATTTCTATATTTACAATAAAAAATTAAAATTTGGTTTAATATTCGATTATCATGTCTAATAACAACGAGAAAGGGTGAATCATTACCACATTTACAAAAGTATAATTGTCTTATTAAGTATCCAGGATAATTTATAATTTTATATTCATTATTTTTATTTTTATAATGAATTTAATTGGTTCGCGCTTTGCTTCAATTAACTGAGATTAACGATTACAAATGTCCTCATTTTTGTTTAATCGTCCATCATTACCTTAATTTACCAGAATTACCAGCTTTTGAGGAGTATGATTCCTTTATATGGTAGGCAACAAATAAAGCCCAGTATCCTATATTGCATAAAATGACAATGAAGTATCTTTCTATTCCAGCTACCTCTGTACCATCAGAAAGACTTTTTTCCGGTGCTAATAATTTAGTTACTTCTCATTCTATCGTAACCGCCATTGAGTCTAATAGGTCTCATGGTCTTAATGGTTCCTGAGAAGAATATATATCATAATTTTTTGGTTCCAAAATTTCGATTAATTATTATAAAACTTTTTTATATCTACTATCAGAAATGATAGATTTAATAAATAATTTTAAGAGAGCGTTTTTTTAACGGGTAAGAAGGATATCAAAGATATACAAGACTGTCGAACCTAACGAAAGAATGATTAAAGGTGGTATGAGAGGTGCAAGAGGTTCATGTGTTTTAGAGAATATGGTACGAGAGGGAGAAGCTTAAGAAACGAATTTGGTGTTAGAGAAAGAGGAGATTTAGATTAGAGAAGAATGGGTATTAGAGAAAGGATTTTGTGTGGTGGAGTAGTTTGCGAGAAAGAAGAATTAGAGATGATTTTGGCTTTAGGGGAAGAGGCTTGAATATGAGAGTACGCGAAGAGGGTTTATTTCCAAAGGGGGCTAATGTGTAGATATCCGAAATGCGCATCCCAAATCGGAATGGGATATGGGCTACAAAATTGAAAACTTTATATTTTTCTATCAAAGTTAGTTTCAAACCAATGAAAATGAACAGTCGTGAAACAAACTATTGTTTTATTTATTTTTTTATATTTTAAATTAATTTTTATTTTTATTTTTTAATATTATTTATGAAAAAAATCTTTTATTCGATTCGTATTAATTTACCGTTATGGTGAGAAGTATTGGTAAAGAAGGCGAAAAAGTTATTTTTCTAATTTTTTTAATCCTTATTTAGCTTCGATATTTTAACGATTTAAAATAAAAAAATTATACCATAAAACGTTGCATCGTGAGTGAATTAATATCTCTCTTCTATATTCAAAATTCTAAAGCCAACATTGAGGCGACTCAACTTAAAAGTGATTTTCTTCACATTATTCTTCCCGTTACTTTGTAGGGGTAATCATCCAGCTTGCCATCGGTATTTCAATATGAAATTTGTAATGGCGAAAGATGACGCCCTACAAGAAACTTCGTATGTGAATCAATTTTGAAGTATAATGTTAAAGGCCACTTACACATATATGAACATAATCGTACCCAAGACTATTATCTAGTTGCTTCTTCGAGGAAGCTTTTTGCAAATAGGAGAATAAATGTCAAACTTGTCGAACATTATGTTATGTTATGTCTATATTTATTAAAACTTACTTATCATACATATTTAATGTATCTAATATGTTATTATATTTGATATGTTTCTTTGTCGTAATTTTTCTTTCCGGCCCTTACATTCAATATAGGAGCAAATTGTTGTCCGTGAGCATATCAATTATATTGACTGCAATTCCAAAGACAATTTTATCTGGTAGCGTACGATTTCCACGATTTCCAGCATTTTACTGAACGGCGTCTCTATTATTTTCTTTATTATATTTTATATATTTGTTATTGTCCGGAGCGAAGCGAAGGACTTTAATTCTATGCAATATATAACACGAGTTTCTCTGTCCGAGCCGATCACGTCGATTTGATCAATTTTTATTTAATGTCTATTTGTCGCTTGCCATACAATTATTTGAAAGTAACCGTTCTTCTCAGCCTTTCTTTCTTGCAGCCATTTATATTCTTTAATGCGTTGAAGTCTTTCAAAACTGAAAGGTCGAAAGAGAAAATCTTCAAGAGTACGAACCCTAGATATTACTACGAAAGAAAGACCGGCAGCAAATTCCTTGTTTCCAAGATCTGCTTTAGCTTTTGGCAAGGTAAGTCCCTGACTTTTATGCACTGTATTTGCCCATGCAAGGCAAATAGGGACTTGCAGTCGTAAACATTGCCTGCGATTTTTACTCTTCCATGTGCGTCGGATCGGACAACTTTAGTCCCATCTAAAGCGGTGATAGAAGAGACTTGATAATTATCAAATGTGATAAGTACTGCTGTTGGAAGGTGAGGTGGCCCTTGTTTAGTTACCGTTTCCCTAGTATTATTATCTTATCTATATTGTAATGTTAGATAAAATTTTGAGATAAAAGTCTTATAATAAAATTCTTATTCTCTCTTTCAAACTTCGTGTTCTATATAAATCTTATTATAATTCGATTTTGTCAATAAGGGATTTATTATAGTTTTGCCAGTGATCTCGTCGAAACCCGAGAGTTTTTGCCAAGCGACTATAACTTGATCAATTTTTTTTTTTCTTTGGGCAGGCCTAAGTTAATATTGCTTGTTTGCTTGGTTTCGGTACAATTCCAGGAAACAGAAGCATAGCTCAGTTTCTTAAGTGTTTCTTAATATGTAATTTCGACTTTGGACGATTTTATAGTTTCGAGGCTTAGAATATCTAAAAAAAAAAAAAATCTAATAAGTTTCGCGTTTTTTTTTTTTTAAAAAAAAAATAAAAATAAAAAAATAAATATATACAATTTTACTTTATAACTGCGAAAAAATCAAATTTCGATTCATTATTATAAAAATCGCTATTGAACCCTCAAATCTATCTCTGGAGAACTATAAATCTAGAGAATGGAAACAATTGATAATTTTGTAATAATAAAAGATCAAATAAGAAAACAGTTGTATAAAACAAATTCAGTTAATCTACAACATTTAAGAATTTGTTTTTTCTTTTGATGCGATTTACCTGAAAAAAAGTACTGGTTATATATTCTTTGTAAAAGTAGTATTTAGTTATTTCATTAACTCCGAGCCTTCAGCAATAACTGTAGTAAAATGAATTTTAAAAGGAACCTGAGGGGAGAAAACCTTATGTTACATATAACGTACGACATTATCGTTAATAATTAGGAGTTTCATTAATAAATCATTATATTCCTTTAAAGATACAATTATTTAATTCTGTTTGCTTGTTGACTTAAAATACCTTAAAATAAATTTTATAATGAGGTTATTATGTACACTCCCCGGTCAAAAGTATTGGACCAAAAAAAAAGTTATCGCAACTTTTAAATTTATGACTAATTTTAAT